TACAAGTGGGTCACTGTATAATGGATGGTATTAAATTTGAATTCAATGATATAATATCATTGTATAAGAAAAACGATTCTGAGCGGTGACGGTATGTCAGTCTATGTATAAGACATATTATATACATATCTATGGTATTAAACAAAAAATTGACCTATAATAGGTACCTATAATTAATTCCAAATTAATCATATCACAATATCCATTAGATACTTATAACACGTTATACATCAACAAAAACCGTGATACTATCATAGATATATAATAGTACACTTTAGAAGTTTCAAGTACCCACGAATAATATTATTCAATCACAACAAAATAACTAAAATAGTTATTCTAGGTTTTTTAATATATAATTTCGTCCAAATTTGAATTTAAAATGTCTGTAAAAAATAAGTGTGTTCATATATTTTTTAGATTTTTTGGTTACAGTATGAACTATTTACGAGAACCTTTGTGTTGAATTTGCAATCCTTAGCTATAAAAACTGAACATTTTATAATTTATTAATTACAATGATTGATAATTTTCGAGATTTTGATAAATTTTGTCAAAATTTGATCTTTAAATGCTTATAAAAAAAAACTGTGCCTATGTATTTTTAATATTTTTCAACTGCTATTGTAACAATATATCAGGAGCCTTGTATTAAATTTTTACACTTTTTGGCAAAACAGATAAAACTTTATTGATATTTATAGAAAAAAAAACTAAAAAAAATTGAAAGCTGTAAATGTCCATAAACATCTCAAAAAGAGTCAAAATATTTTCAAAATTGTATGGTGTATAGAAAATGCTAATTTAAACATTGAGTGAAATTTTCATGTATCTACAGTTGTTCGTTTTTGAATTGCAACAAAATAAGGAAATCGCTACATGAGTAATCGAGTGAATATCCAATGTTGTAAAAATTTGAATTTCAAACGCTCATAAAAATTTAACTTGACTGTCCGGTAGAGATTTTTTTATTGATAAAGGTAGATAATCTTATAAGGAATCTTGTGTTTCATTTTCAAATCTTAGATTTAAAAAGAAAAATTTTTACGAATTCTTAACTCAAAATAATTTGCTAATTTTCGTGATTTTTCCATATTTTGTAAATTTTTGAACTTTAAATGCTTATAAAAAAAAATTGTGACTAAGGATTTTTAATATTTTTCATCTGCCTTTAAAACAACATATTAGGAGCCTTCTATTAAATTTTCAAGCTTTCGCAACCAACAAATAAAATTTTATTGATATTTCTAGAAAAAAAACTAAAAAAAAATGAAAAATGAAAATGTCCCTAAACAGTTCAAAATAAATCAAAATATTTTGAAAATGTTAACGTGTATATAAAATGCAAATATAAACAAATAACCAGTGAAAATTTCATGTATCTACGGTCATTTGTTTTAAAGTTACACCAAAAACCAAATTCGATTTTTTGGAAAATCGATTTTGCGTAAAAATTCCCTTTTTTCCTTAATTTTTATGTTGTTTTTCCCGGCGCTTGTGAAAACTACTGGAAAATGTTTACTTTTGACACCCCAAAGTACCAACTAGATTCACTTTCCTATCAGAAAAGGTACTATTGAAGAAAATCGAAGCACTTTTACTGTCCCAAAACGTGATGACAGACACAAAAATATAAAAATATAAAAATATAAAAATATAAAAACACACATCATTGTAAAACCAATACATTCATCGCTCCGCTCAGAATCTAAAAATATATTACGTGAGACGTACGAATTTGTATGCTTGTTTTCAAAAACGATAGTTATGAAAGTAGTTATTTTTTTTGAGTTCGCGTTATTGGCGAGTATTAAAAAAATATTTGCAACTCAACCATTGTACCTACGACCCAACACCATAGAGGTAATAGCAATCCTAGAGGTGCTGTCCATCTTTTCTATGTGCTTTGGAAATGAAAATATACGTTGATCAGAAATTTGTTTTTATTTTAGTTCTTGTGATTTGCGAGTGTTAAAAAATTATAAAACCATGTATGTTTAGTTAAGACACTTACCTACTTAAAGATATGATAAATAACAATTAATACATTTCTACCTATGTTAATTTATGATTTTTTAAAATATCAATATTTTTTTGAAGTAATAAATTAATTTGAAACGTAATAATTACATTTTTCAAAAATGTATTCTTTTTGGAAATTTTCACACATAAGTAAATCTCAAATTATTTAGTATCCATATTATAAAAAATTTCATATTTTTTTTCATATCACCTTATTTTAACTTTTATCAATTTTTCATTTTTAACTGGCCGTACATTATTGTTACACTCTGTATATTTTACCATACCAGCAGTTACACAATACAGAGGTTGAAATCGAACGGAAAGACCTGACAAATGAAATACCTTTGGTTCTAATCAATATTTATAAATTTTTTTAATTTTTTTTTTAATATAATTATAGACCTAGCTCGCGTTACACATGTACGGTATACCTCAACAATTATACATTTTATTAAAGTTTTTTTGAACAATTGTAGTGTTAAAAACGATCATTTAAGTCAGGTACTCAGGTAGTTTATTTTTTTTTTTTAACGTTTTACGACAAAAATTGATATGAATCTTAAAAGCTTTTTTCAAAAATATGTTCATTTTGGAAATTTCCACACAAGTAAATATCTAATCATTTACTATCCGTATACATTTTTTCACGTCGACTGGTATCAATCTTTCATTAGTCTTTAGTCCTTTAGTTACACTCTGTATACATTATAGCATGTCTGCGTTTATACAGAGTCTGAAATCGTAAATTTCATGAACTCCAAAAAAGTCCGTCTGTTGTTGATGTATCAAGTACACTATAAATTCTGTTTGCACATAATGTTGATCATTCGGACCCAGTAAACAGCTGGTGTCAACACTCGATAATCACGTATTCACGTCATATTGATTATTGATTTAAAATATAAATTTTACATTTTTTTACGATTTTAATTTCGATTTCTATAACTTGTCCATATACCTATGATCGTTGTTTGTAAGTTCCGCTTGCGCATATTCGACGCGTGACTGTTGAGCGGTTCTAAGAAAACGAAATTACCAACCTATGACCAATACTATAATTATTGAAACATTGGCCATTGTTGAATTTTAAATTTGATTTAATTTTTTTTTATCGATTTTTTTTTACCTATGTAAAAGTTATAAAACGATATAAGTCATCAATTTTTTTTTAAATTTTATAATCTTTGAATATAGTAATAGGAGCGTATCGAGCAATTTTTCAATAGGGGGTCCAAATTTTTTTACATGTAAAAAGTATTTAATAAGTGATTGCACCTTAGGAATTTTTAATTCTGTCAATAAATGGGGGGGTCCAAACCCGACCAACCCCCCTCGGATACGCCCTCTCCAAAATAGTATAATTGTATTTTGATTTCGATATAGATTATGATTTCATAGAATATTTTTAACGGTTTATCTATCAATATTTAAAATCGATCTCAATCCCTGTTAAAATAACTACAAAGTAGGTACTTACATAATTTAGGGTGTCTTGAAGACCGGAAAAATAAAATTACTTTCGTTCAAGGCTTGCATTTGAAAAAAAAATTATGTTATTCTGAATTAAAAATTTATCCAAGTTTTTCCTTTATCGTTATTTGGAGTTAAAACGTTAAACAAGTTTTGAGTTTATCGTTATTTAGAAAAGTGTTAATAACTAATGTGGGCAGGTAATGGCCCGGATACGAAATATAATATAATCAATTCTAGATTGTTTGAAAAATAAATATTTCTAAAAAAAACAATATAACTTTTAAATAAATGGATTTTAAATTATTTCGTTTTGTGTTATTTTTTGTACAATTTAATTCTATAAATTATGTTTTGCTATATTTTTCGTTTAATGATTTTCTATAAATTACGTTTTGAGTTATGTTTTGTTTAATGGTATTTTTGATTATCGCCTTCCGTTATAATTACGTTTACAATTAATTTCAATAGTTTTTTGTGAAATATCAAATATAACGTTATCATAACTTTTGCAAGCCCAGCTTTCGTTCTAATCAATATTTTAAACATTTTTATTTTTGTATATAACTAATGGACATTTAATCTATTTGTTTATTTCCATCAAATATAATCAAAATGGGATTTTTGATGAAATTTGATTTATCGTGTTTTGGCGTGGATAGCTTCAATTTCAAACATAATAACCATCGAGTCAATTCTTAGTCAAACCCCATCAAACTTAAAAAAACAAAAAACATCTTCCTCCTCATATTTACAGACTGTCTGTAACAAGAAATTCTACAGGTACCTGCAGCTATTTTCAAAAAAACGTTTTAAAACTTTGAAACAATTTATTCTTTAATCAGTAACTTTCGAGTCGACTATCGTGGATTCTCATACGGTCATACGGTATTGTAGTATTTAATGTAGGTACCTACATGTCATTTTACAAAAATCCAAAAGAGTTGGTTTGAAATCATTTTAAAATATTCCTACAACTGCAATAAAATATACATTTACATTTTTCAAAAGATTTTTAAAATATGAACGCATCAAAAATAATATTATGAAAAAGTAGTCTTGTTTTCTTATTGAAGAAAACCCATAGGCGTATTTTGTATGTTTATATAAAAAAAAAAAATCAATAAGTAAAAATAGTTAAATTTATTTAGGTGCATCTTATCCGTTTAAAAACAAAGTTTCATTATTGTACCTAATATACATTTAAAAGTTAAACAAATTATTTTTGATGGAATATACAACGAACAATAAATAAATAAATAAAAACGAAAATAATAATATGTTAAACGAAATATCAAAATATGTATGACAAACGTCGTTTAAAGATACCGCAAAATGTAAAAAAAAAAAAAAAAACAAAAATGCTCGAGAGGCCGAAAAATCGACCTGAAATTTTAAAAACGTACTTCAAGATTATTACACAACTCAGAATTCATGCTGAGAAACAATGTAATAAAATATTATGTTTTGCTCCAAAAAATGCGTTTCCCTACAAATTTGCAGCCTCAATGCGTTCTGGTGGGCGGAAGCAAAACGTCGAAGGGGTACATGACCAACATTTTGTTGCACATGTCCATTTGAATATTGTCGAGTACAGGTCCCACGGCCGGATAAAGTTCGTCAGTTATTTGGATGGCGTACTGGTTTAGGAACCTCAACGCTACTCGGTCTGTAAAAATTAAAAAAACAAATGAAAACAAATTTGGTGATTGTCATTATTATAGTTTATATAACAGAATTAATGGGTAAATATTAAATTATTATTGTTTTTCAAGACGAAATGTGCAGCGGTTTGATAAGATACTCGACTTTAAATAATCAACTATGTGAACAATAGCGGGTTTAATCTTATTTATAAATGGCAATAATACGTTTTGAATAAAAAATGTAATGTTGTCCTGTACCTACGACATGGGCAATAGCACGTTTTGGACTAAAACAGCAATAACACATTTTGACTTGATATTCTACAATGGAAACAAAACGTTTTGGAAAAAATTCTCATTTTCCAACCCATTTTAACCTGTATAGTGTATATACAAATACAGCAGAATTAATTTTTTTCTTAGAACCTATCGTTTTGGTCTGTAACCACACAATTCCTTTATAACGGGCCATATTGAGGTATTATATTTGTGTTATTTATACGTCAAAGGTTCAACACCTTTTTTACTTTTCATCTTAATACCATAAATCGGGCGTCGTTCAAAACCGCACACTTACCATTCATAACCACACATTTTACACCTTTCAATACCACACACATTTCGTCTATTGTCAAAAATGAAAATTTGGAAGGTCGACAATTCAAAACCGCAGACATTTGGTTGACAGTTTAAAATTAAACATTTACCTATTAATATTAAATAAATCGTCATAAAAATAATTTTATACACTATATATTATTTTATAATAATTTTAATATTAACTAAAAATTATTTTATTCAGGCATTATTAATTCGATATAATATAGTAAAAAAAAAAGAAATTGTTTGATGGAAAAAAAATAATGTTTGGAATAAATTGACATGTCATTCTGCCCACAATATCGGTGAAAAACGAATGGCCCCAATTATACAATAATACACAATAATTATACAATATATAAATGTGTGCAGTTTTTAACGACGGCCTTTTTTTGAGAGTGTTTGGTTATGACGACCATAATGAACAAAATAAATGAAGACAACAAATTTTATATTTTCTCCTATTGAGTCATTTTCAAACATATCATTTTTAACCTGTACACAGATACAGCAGAATTAATATATTTTTTTTTTGATTCCACTCATATTTTTTTTAGTACCTATGAAAAGATTTATCTATAGCTCGATTTCGATTAAATTACCAAAGGGTCATATATTTCTTTTACTTATACGTCAAAGGTTAGCGGGAAAAAATCCTTTTTTTTACCCTCACCTTAATAATATACTATATAAATCCATAATGAACAAAATAAATGAAAACAACATATTTTATATTTTCTCCCATTGATTATAATAATTTCTAATTATAAAATATGGGTAGTTGTATTCAACACTAAACATTACAAATATGTACGTATATACTGGTTTTTCGTTGAATAATAATTAATTTTCGATTTTTGAAATTATTAAGAAATACATTTTTTTTCTCTCGGGCCACACCGAAAGGGTTCACGTGCCGCATGTTCAAGACAACTGCTGCTTTTGGTAATAACTAATATGTAAGTACCTATATATTTTATTATTGATGTCATAATAATATTAGGTTTGCTTGGAATGAACGCAATTCTTTCTTAAAAAAAATGTGCTACGATAATACTCAGAATTTCAAATTTATCCTCGGTTGTTTTGTCTTAGTAGTTTCTCGGTAGTAATTCCATATAGAAATTCCATTACTCGATGCTTTCGAAAGTCATACAACACTATGGCATTCAAAGCTTTGTGTTGGTTATGGAGGCGGCGAAAGTCAACAATTCTTTTGAAAAAATGTTTTACCAGCGTGTTTTATCCTTGAAAGCGGAACAAACATTTATTTATTTTTTAAATATTATGTTTTCAACGAAATCGAGACCTATATAATACAGTTGTAGGTAAAGGCGTATTATAGTGAACATAATATCGTTTAGGACCTCAAATGAATAGTTATAAATGATTACATTGTTAGTGGTTTCGTATTATGTGTAGAACCAATTATAGAAGTCTCATTATTACCTACTCCAAATAACGATCACAAAATATATACCATTAGGTATGTGCCCAGAATGAAAAAAAAATAAATATTTTTATATATTACGCTCGTCTTATTGTCTCTTGTGTGATGTGAATAATCTTAACAAAATGTATTCGTTAATTGCTTACAATAAACAAAACAATAATAAAACACGTTATAATGAAGACGGCTGTTATTTATTATAACAATCAACAACTCAATAGCTAACAGCTGGTAACGGGAGGAAATATATACCGAAATAAGAGTAGGTAAGTACGTGATTTTCACCATGATAGGTAATCGAAAATAGTGTGAAACTTGCTCCACAATTGGCGTGGAGTGTCTATGAAAATATCGATCATCAATTATTCGATTATTTCATCGCTGACAACCAGCCAGTGTTGTAAAGTATTTAAGTAATAGTATTTAAATACTTTTTTCGGTATTGAATACTTTTTTAAGTACTTTTTATTTTGAAGTATTTGAATGGTATTTTAAATACTTTTTTTTTACTATTAAATACTATTTTTTAATTTTTTTTATTCTTAATTTGTTTCTACTTACAATTATTATTCTTGTTAAATAAAAATGGTTTTGCTCTAACATAATAACAATATAATATTATATATTTATCATTTTTGCCTCACATACAAATTGGTATCAGTTTTCAATGTTTTTTTTTCCCTAGGAGACAGTTTATTGGTCCAGGATGATTTAAAAGTTACATCTGTGGTCGGTATCACTATTAGCTTAAGTGAATGACAAAATATATAAGTATGTAAAAAGCTTCTAGTTAACGGCTATTATACCTTAAAGCTTATAATTATTTAACTATACAAAAATATTGTTAATAATTATTAGTACCTACTGGCTAGTTGTTACTACCTATTTGTAATATTTTTAATAATTATCATAATCGTTTATCTTCGACAACGATCGATGACGGTGTGAGATATCCAAATATACAAAATATAGCTTTAAATTAATATGTAATAACTCTGTAGAGAAAAATTCATTGTTGTGGTGCAACTAACACGACTAATCAGAATTTTGATTATTGAACGAATCGTGTTTTTAAAATGCAATAAACAAATTTTTGATTATAACAAATTATTTCAGAACTAAAAAGTAAAAAGAATTTTTTTTTTGTATTTGAAGATTATTTCAAATACTTTACTATTTATAGTATTCGGGTGATATTTTGAGAGTATTTGAGTAATTACTTTTAAATACTTTTAAAAAGTATTTTTTACAACACTTCAACCCAGCTACTAATTTTCGGGTACTTCGAAATACCCACCGCCTTTCAATATAGTTGTTTTTAATTATTATAATGTAATTTATATAATATCTGCAAACCAAGTGTTCCTACGAAACCTCATAAATGGCTCTATAGACAGGGTAACTACGTCATTTGCACACCATCATCGTGTGTTGATCGAAAATCGTGTTTGTATAATTGAAATGAGTTTGGAGGGCAATTTCGTAATCAATTATCAAAGGTATTCGATTATAATTTCCTCAGCATATAAGCACATTGAAATCGAGACTCGATGGACTCGAATGACAGTATTAATTTATCGGAATTCCTAACTACTCACTTACAACAGGTAATCGTTGCAATGGTAATTTGACATCCAACGCGTTATTACATTGGATTCGTTATTATTATTATTATTACACAATTTATTGATTTTAGACAGTAATATATTAATATGTTTTTATAACTAGGTAGCTTTAAAGTCAATACTGATGCATAAGCACCGTTATTAATCAATAAACAACTTAAGCTGACGAAAGGCGAAGTATATGTGTGAAATGTGAATAAGTTTGTATACAAAATAACCGCTCAGAATCAAAAAATGAATATTAAATAATGGATTTTAGTTTATCATATATTATCTCATTCGTTAAGTATTTTGAAACGTGTACGCGTGTAGGAACTGTTGAAGAAATAATCGATTTGAATTATACAATTCATAATTTTTACTACCCGAGATGGTGCAAACTAAATATTTTCATTTTTGTACAAATCACAAACGAGTGTCAAAAATGTCGTTGAAAATTACACATTAAATAGGTATATATTTTTATTTTTGGGTCGATTTCGGCGTAAATTGACAAGGTACGATACATTTTATACGACAAGATTAAGAGCATTTTTAAAATATCTATCTAAATCGCAAAATTGTCATATCCTTATATTTTATGTGAGCAACTAATAATAAGCTACATCCATATTTGAGTCGAGCTGGTTGTCTATTTCATTGTTCTAAAATTTTTTCGACGATTTCCCATTGAGTTAGTTTATATTATAATTTATGTTTGCTTCATTATTATTTTTTTATTTATAATCAACGGTCATAAGCCATTTTACAAGAAAAACAATACATAATAATTGGCACATATGAAACTAATAGACCAAGTGATAATAATACAAATAAAACTAACTAGAAAGACACAAAAAAAAAAAAAAAGAAAATCTATCAATAAAAATAAAAATATAAAACCAATTAGGCAATATATTTTGAAAATAACAATGTTTTAGCTTTGAAGAAACAACAAACAAATCCAAGACTGTACGAGATTATAATATTATAATTATTTTTATTATTATTAGTATTATTATTACTATAAATTTTAAGACGGTATGACAAAAAAAAAAAAAAATAATAAGCGATATTCTTCTTATAAGTCGGTAAAAACTGTCAGTCGCGAAATCGTTTTTACAGCGAACTGCAGATAATGATTTACCGCTTTCGACTTTCGACTTTCGAGTAAAACTTAACTGCTGCACGCGTTGACCCGCCAAATTCAGTGATCTACAGTAGTCCATACGTCTTAAACTTTCGCCGACTGTTTATCTCGAAACGTACGGTGAAATATGTTTAATTTAATTTAATTTAATATTTCCACGGCATGGAGCGAGATAGACGTGTTAGAGCACCCGCGTGCATATTTAGATGCGTCGCTTTT